TGCCAGAATGTCCGTGAGGGGGCGAGAACCGTCGAGTCAAGGTGCTTGACTCGGATTGGCTGGCATTCTGACCAGTCAGGGCATGCCTACGTCTGGCCCGTGTCCTGCACGTGGCACATGCGTCCAAATGATGTGATGTTCGGTTATTAGGGACGGCTGGCCCCCGAACAAAAGCTTAACCGCAAGGCAGCGGTGTTTGGCGGGGAAATGCAAATGCATTACCTTTTCTACGGAACAAGTCGCCATACATGTTCCAACCCCCAACCTGGAGGACCAGGAGACTGTGTTCGTCAGACCTCTAACCATTGACCAACCTGGTATGAGAGACTGTGAATGTCGCTGGGACACCCCCCTGTATAGCTCAATAGGTCGCCGAGGTACACAAACCGCCACACCACGATAAGGTCCAGTCTCTTCGTGACGGATGGGTGCATAAAAATGTTGTCTGGAAACAGCAGGGGTATGAATTACGGACAAGCCGTCAGAATGGGTATCGCAGTCGCGGTACCCTCATCGCGACATCAAAATTGGGCTGGTGTACAGCTCCGTACATGAACATCTTAAGTGAGTCAGCTGGGGCTGTCATGGTAGTTAGGATTGGCCAAGGAAATGTGACAAACTAAGACCAGCATGGAACAAGGGTATCCTTATGTCCATCAGGAGCGCGGTTCATTGCTACCATTCGAATGAGGCAATAAAATAACCGTGTCCACATTGGGGACCCAAGATAGCAGTGTCAAGGTCTGCTAGAAGGCGCTATGTTATGCGGTAAACTGTGGTTCGTCATCGCAGGCAGCCAAGAGGGTCACCGTTTCTAACTGCTTCAGTGAAGCGAGGCTGATCGATTTCAAAAACGACAATCGATATTCAGGTGGAGATAACAGGTATGTGATCGATGCAAACAGGCGTAGGCGTATGAGAACATGAAGGACGTGCATTAGCTAAATTGTGCACAACTAATGTGGTTTTGAGCATGCAGGGGCTATAAATTTGGACAAAAACGTGAGGTGCCCAGTGGTGTTGCGTGTTTGGACGACGATGCATCCTCCAAATGGTGTAGTTACAACCAAAAGGAAACCATGGAGGCTTTTCAAAACGAGTTATGTCGTAGCAGTCATACCACGTATATTTAGTGAGTCTGTTAGCAAATTTTTCTCTGCTATAAATGATACAACCAGGGGGGTGGCTCAGTGACTAGGGCACGAATTTACTGACCTAAGGTTCGTGGTCAGAACGCGACCTCTGCCTCTCGACTTACCCTGTCTAGGCTTGGGCAAACTGGCAGTACCCCAGCCCTCGAGCTTCCATCGGAAGGCATGGCAGCTAGCCACCGAAAGGATGTTACAACTGAACGATTTTTTACGATACAACCAGGACAATCTTAAGTCAGAGGCAAGGGTGTTTGACAGAAGTTGTCTACATTTCACTCTCCCTCCTTCATTGCAGAAGGCAGAGTGAGACCCAACACAGAGTAGAGGATGTCTTTGGGAGGTGGATGCGGCAAGGCTGGGGTTAGCAATCGTGCAGTCTTTCACATCACCCGGCAGAGAAGGGGTGGACATGGTGCAAACAATTGGTGGATGTTCAGGGTTGGGCAGTGACCAAAAAGGCCGATCAGGTAGGACAAATGCGGATGGAGAGGTAAGGCGCATTGAGAGTATGGATGATGGGGAATCCGGGTCCATCGACCTCTTGGAGGACAACAGCGGGATTTGTGGCATTGCGATGTGTGTTACTTGAAGGTGGGTTGAGGGATATTTGTTCCTGGGCAGTGAGATGTAATAAGCTTAGTCTCAGATAGATCACTATCATTATTAGAAATAATCAGATCACATCAGGGGTGCATGCCATGGTAGCTCTGTAGCGGTTGCCCATCTGGTTAGTGCATCCACATCCACTATCTCCCTCGTGCTTTGCTTTGTTCCACATTCCACAACGTGCATCACCAGACAAGACGTGATTTGTCTGGATTGATGACAGCACCTAGATGATCCATCTCTAAAGAGAGGAGTATTTGTAACGCCTACCCTTTGCTTAGTTACTCCTCTAATCAATTTACCACCGGTACCTACTACCCCC